TGACGGCCTTGAACATTGAGACAGGCTTGACATCTGTCTTTGACGGATTTGACGGACCATTGGATTTTTGCTTGGGGTACTATTAAACAAAAATTCTACGAAAAGCCGGTTAATGACATTAATTCTTTACAAGGAAGAATTATTCGAGCATGTGAAACAATTACAGCTATTCAGTGCCGCTCTGCCACTGCTACCGTCAAAGACAGATGTCAAGCCTGTCTCAATGTTCAAGGCCGTCACTTTGAACAAAAATAATTAAGTAAAAATTTTCATATTTTTTAATAATAAAATATTTGAAGCACACTATTAAATTATTTATTATAACCCGATAACAATTTCATAAAATTTTATAATGAAAAATGTTTAGATGTCAATATCTCTTAAACAAAGCGTTTACAGACATGTCTCCAGAGGAAAGTTTTTTCTTGTTTTGAGGTCCTAAGTTCATATTTTAAGTTAGGACACTTTACCCTGAAACACCCTGTATAATAATATACCTATAACGCGCGACTGCTACATAATTATTGTATTACTTTATTATAATTTATGTATAACTACTATATATGTATTATACGTTTACTTTCTAATTATAGTATTAAATGCTGTATGTACGTACACGGAAAAAAATTATATTTAATCAGAAACAATGAAGTTGCTTGAATTAAACATTAACGTCACGGGCTGCCAGAAACATAAATAATTCACGCAATTGTATTTGCTACGGATCTTAATTTCGAGCACTGAACCGAGTTCACCCAGATTCTTAAAACAACTTATCATTAATGTTAATGTTAGTTTCGACGATTTTATTTCAATTGCACTAACTTTGTCGACACCACGTCGTTTTTTTCCGGGTATTCAACAATCATTCTATTTGAATATTTATTTTGACTCGCTCCGAGTCACTTTACATTGCATTATCTGATAAACAGTTATAATGATAATATAACTGTTGTTATGTTGATAAAGATATATTGATAAAGAATGCAGTCAATGTAGCGAAACCCAACATTTTTTATCAGATAAAGCAACGAACGGGAAGAGAGGCTCAAGTTCTGAAGATAAACGTTTCCTCCTTTCGTTCCGCGCGTTTCTTGTTTCATCTCTTTATTTCTGCGCGCAAGCACAAATTTATTTGTGCCTATCATACGTCTGCATCCTTGCGCAACGTGTCCGTTTAAATTCTGTCCCTTGCTTTGCGTGCCATCGCGAGCAAACATATACTGTAGACACAAGCCTGCCGCACCTTCGGCAGGTATAGAGGAAAGTCTCATATTACGAGACAGCGGGTTTTCAACGTCCAAATTCAATCGCGAGTCCCTTTTCGCAACGATCACACCAATCTAACAATGAATTTTTTTTACTAAGGGCGAGTTTCGCGGACGTTGACTTTAGCCTTTACGTCCCACATCGTTGTACTCGTGAAAGATATGAAGTTCAGCCATCTTTTGCAACAGGCTTTACAATCGGGGATGCTAGTTAAAAGCTGTGTTCTACAACACTGTACAACCGCTAACAACCGCGTTTACGCAATTGTAGAATGGCCGTTAACCTCAGCTCAACTCACTCTCTGACTCTCTCTGAAGGAAACGGAAGGAGACGAAGAGAGCGAATTAAGCTGGAGCCAAAATCCCGCGGCGTTGGCGCAACCGGGCCTTAACCCGGGATTAGAATAACAGTGTCAAATAACCGCGGCCCTCGTTCGCTCGAGGCTGACATTTAAAATAAATCCCCTCCCCTCCCCCCCCACCCGAAAATGCGTAAAGCCTGTATCAGACTACGGATTGAGATTGAGATTAGATTGAAAATTGACCGATTAGAGTAAAAGTTACTAAAAATAGGCAGTATTTATTGACCATGTCTGGCAAGTTTGATACAGTTGATTCGCAACGTTTCGACCACAATTTTTGGTCCTTATCAAGCGATCTAAAAATTGTTTGACAATCAGTAGCGTGATGTGACTAGTCAAGAGTGAGAATCGGTGATTTAACATAAGACGAAATATGAGGATGACATGAAATAAAATGTTATAAATGTCTGGTTGGCATATGGTGTTGCTAGTTTAGTACTAAACTTAATACTGAACTAAAAGTTACTGAACTTGAGATTAGTAAACTTTACTGTGTGACTGGTCAAATTTCAATCCAATTTCAATCTAATCCCAATCTCAATCCGTAGTCCGATACGGGCTTCACGCATCTCTCGATCTCTCGGGTCAGGCTCCGCGAAAAGGAGACAGGAACCCGACCTCGGGTCGACGGCTGGATGGATCGCGCTTGTCTCGCGGAAAAGTCGAGCGCCACGGCGGAAGATAAGTTATGTAACGCGACACGGTCGTAAATAAACACACTTGTGCACACATGTACGCGCGCGCGCCTCACGTTCCCACGTACGCGTTTCGTCTAATCACTCGTCGACCGGTCGCACGCGGTAATATATTATAATTGCGCAACAATAAATGCGGAAAAAAGCCGCTGACGTACGCGGGGCCGAAGTACAAGGCGCGTAGAATTCGCGAAAAACGGAGGCGGGCTCGCGCGGCAGGCGAGACGCGACGTGCCGAGTCATCCCGGAGGACGAGAAAAAAAAAAAGGCCAGAGACCAGAGTTACGGAGCTTCGAATCTGCCGCTCGCGCGGGCGGCTCGTGGGAGCGGGGCGGCCCGACGAGGGGGAGGGGCGCGGCGCGACGGCGAGCGCGTGTGTTTTAACGATCAGTGCGCGCAACCTTCGCGTAGGGGCACAATTACGCCGTTATGGATTGCTATACCAACTGTACACCGCCAACGTGTGACCCGCGCGGCGGCAACGGCGCAGCGCGCAGCGATCCGAAGCGAGGGTTGTCCCCGAGGGGCAGAGGGTGGTCGCGCACGCCGGCGATCGAGCGGAGTTCATGAATGAACGCGGATTGACCCGCCGCGAGGAAACCGCCGAGCGCGCGGAAACGGAGGGCGACGCGAGAGATCTCGACGAAAGGCGGGGGGGGGGAGGCGGGGGGAGGCGGCGGTGCCGCGCGCCCCCCGGGGGAGGAAAAGGCGCGCGCGAGGGCGAGGAAGAAACGGTTAGGTTTACCCAGCAGAATGGAGACGAGGAGGCGCAGCGCGGCCTCCGGGGCGCCCAGCAGCGTCGACAGCCTCGCCAGCCCGCCCGGGCTGTGCGCCACCACGTTGTCCATGAACGGCGGCGAGAGGAAGGCAAGGACGACGACGACGACAAGGACGGCCGCGGGCGGCGATGTGTGTCCCAAACACGCAGCGGCGAGACGCTACAGCATGGCCGCGTGCGTAACGCGCGCGCGTGCCCCCGCGCTGTGTACGTGTCGCACCTTTTATCAGCAACGGCGGGCCGCCAACTGCCCACCGTCGAGCGACGCGTTCACTATCGAGCTCGCGCGGATCGCACGGAACGCCCGCGATTAACCTTCGCCACCGTCGTCGCCACCATCACCACTGACCGTCGCCACCACCGCTTTCGCCGTCGCAGCGGCGCGGCGGCGACGGCGGCTACGGCGCGCCGGCGGCTGTGCGCGACGGCGGGGTAACGACGCGAGGACGCCGTTACCGGGACGACGGGGAGAAAGAGAGAGAGAAAGAGAGGGGGGGAGAGAGAAGCGTCTCGCCGCGTCGTTTGCGACGATTATAAATCAGACGCTTGGACCAGATTAGCGGAAATTAGAACGGGATGACCGTCTTCGCAGCGGCCGTTTCCCCGGACGGCGACGTTCCGTCGGGAAGTCCGCTCCGGACTTTGCGCCGCGGACGCGGATATTTGTGGAGCGTTGACAGAGGGAAAATAAAAATATCTTCGTAGTACAGTAAGGACTCCGGCTATCGATTAGTCCCACCGCGAGCTCGATCGGTCCGGGAGTCATTGAGAATTGTTGAGGAATTTCCCTCTAGAAGAGGAGCAAAAGAAACGGCCGGATAACTTATCGGGTCGCCCCGGCAAGACGCGTGGGTGAGAATCGTTGCTTTTATCTCTGCGGAGAGACGGGTTGCAGGGAGCGCGGAAAAGGAATGGAATGGAAGGAAGAATGCGTCGCATCGTTCGAAGTTTTTCGAAATCTCCGCTTTGTCCGACACCCGCGCTACAGAGCAGCCTGCGAAAATCGAACTCGTTAATTTTTTTCTCCACTCTGGACAGACGAACAGTGCAAATGGCGGAAGGTTCGCTCGCTCGCTCGCTCGCTCGCTCTTTCGAGTGAGCAGCTTTTCGGCTCCCGCCACTTCCTTTCTTTGCAGAAATGAGAGCAACCACTCGTCCGCGTGTCTTGCTGGGACAATCTGACAAAAAAAATAGCAGAAAAATAGTTGGCTGTGCGAAAAATCAAACGGAAATATACTGTAATAAGTTTAAGCGAAAAATATTAACGTAACAAATCCGTCGTAGATCTAAGTTTAGTTTAAGGCGTAGAATAAGTTGAATGAGATTGTAACTCTAAGGTCCAGTTTCACAAACGTCGGTTAACTGTTAACCAGAGTTCAGTCGACTTCCTATCTTTCTCTATCTTGTTATCCAAGAAGAGACAGGATCAATTAACCATGGGTTAGCGGTTAAACGACGTTTGTGAAATTGGCCCTAAGGAATCATTTCTTGACTAAATACTCTGAATATGTATTTAAGACACAGTTAAATATAAGAACTGACTGTAAACAAGCCTTAGCGTGCACTCAGTGCGCACCAGTGCAAGCAATCGACTTCGCTATTAAGAAATTTTAGAGTAATTTTGGACACTTGAAGTAATTTTTAGACAGCCAAGTCTGTCGAGGTTTCCGCTAGAGGGCCGCGCGGCACAGCACTTTCTCGTAGAAAGAAAACCGCACGCGGTATTGTAAATTATATCACATACTTTTCACAATTCTTAAAGTTTCCTTTTAAATGCTTAAAGCAAGTTTACCTCAAAGAAAAGTATAAAGTGTTCAAATTTACTGTTTACATTTCTTATTTTTCTACAGTAAAATTTTAAGGTATATTTTCCCAAGGAGACTCGCGTCTCGGATTCTCGGGCTCGCCGCGTCTCGCGTCTCCCTCGATCGGAAAGTCTGTTCTCGATAGCTGAACTCTTGTCACCTCCTCTCCCGTTTTTCCTCTCTAAACGCACGCCTATTTCATTCTTCAAGTGGGAGCGGAAAGCGCGACGTAACGCAGACTATAAAGAACAGGCCTTAGATCTCGATCGGCCGGGGACAATTGATTTCGAAACGCGGTGCGAGCGGTGCCGTCGCAGAGATTAAATGGGTCGAACGGGGCCAATCGAGGCTGACAGCGGGCCAACTGGGGCCGGCGCGGGCCGGCGCGCCTCCGAGCAGGGCTGCGCGGATGTCGGCCGGAGATTTTCGGTGTCGGCGGCCGACGATCTTTCATCTTCGCGAAGATCGATCGATCGGGCGCGGGCGACCGCGCGATTAACGTGCCCGCCAAGGCCGCGCGAATTTTGTTCCCCAGCCTCGCTTCGCGTGCGGCGTCGCGTAATCGCCGCGCGACGAGGAAAGATTGCAACCTGACACACCGCGCGAGGCCGCAATTCCGCGAGTCCTTGATCGATGCGGATTTAAGCCAACGGCACACGATACTACTTTTCCTACTGGATTGCTTACGAGAGCCAGTCAGGATGCAAAGTTTTAGATGACTTAAGGCTAAATCCAGTAGAAAAATAGTATCGCGTGCCATTGGCTCAGCTAATAGGTCAACTCTCTGTCGGTTTCTAAAACCAATAGCACACGATACTATCATAGTATAACTAGCAGGTCCATTCCGTCATTTGTCTTGCGCCGATCTCTTCTGCGTATTGGCATTGTTCTGGGCAGACTAAGTCTCTTTGATCTTTGCGGTCCCGATCACGTGGTATTCCGCTATGCACTCAGGCAGGATCCAGCGACGTGTGTATGTGTATACTCTCTAAAATTTGTGGAGTGAAAATACTGCCATGGAGTGAAATGTTCACCCTATTGGCGTGAATATTTCCTCCAACAGAGTGAATATTAACTCCAATGGAGTAAACATTTCACTCCATGGCAGTATTTTCACTCCACAAATTTTAGAGAGTACGTACTCATCAAACGAAGAAAGAAGTTACTTATAGTCACCAGTGATGATTAAGAGTTAAAACAGGGAACTTGTAGTCAACCCAACTGGCATATTCCTTTATTTAGCAAATACAACGTTTCGACCCTACTTTGGGTCCTTTTCAAGCACTACAAAGTGAGTCATCATCAATAAGACAGAGTCAAACTCACTTTGTAGTACTTGAAAAGGACCGAAAGTAGAGTCGAAACGTTGTATTTGCTAAATAAAGGAATACGCCAGTTGGGTTGACTGCAAGTTCCCTGTTTCAGTACTCGTCAAAGCCGCACACTACCACACGTACAACTTTTCTCTCACTGGTCAGCCCAGAACAATGTCGGATGCGCAGAAGGGATCGACGTAAAAACGAAACGAATTACGGAGTGGACCTGCTAGTTATACCGTGACAGTATCGCGTGCCGTTGGGTTTAGAAACCGAACGGATGAGCAACGCCGTCGAGTCGATAGCCGCCGAGCGCGGATATTAAATTGCGCTTTCTCTGGAAACGCAGGTGAAATGCCCACGAGAGCGTGTGTTTCTAATCACTCTCGTGCCCCCTTGCTTTCATTGTCCGGTGAAATCCTGCGATGAATCGTCTCGATAGGAGAGACACGGGCGAGCGATTAATTGTCTCTGTGCCTACGCAAAAGTACGGCATTGTTGCGGGCATGGACTGAAAACGCTGGAAAAAGAAAGATCGGTGTGTGTGTGTGTGTGTGTGTGTAAAACCGATATTTTCCAATTTTCTGCGGTGACACGAGTAAAAACTGATCGAAGTGAAGATTGGGTATTTTGTTGTTCAACGTTGAAACAATCGCCGGCAAGAAGAAACGCGAAATCCAAGCGAGAGAGAAATAACGTACATGATTTCACGTTCGCAGTTGCATAATTATAATTGCGATTAATTGTGTTACTCTGTGTGTCTGTATTATATTATTTCCTGTTATGAAGCGAATATCAAGAATGATACGAGAATCGCGCCGCTTACGTCGGCATTCAACAACAGTAGTAATACAGCAAATTATTGAAAGATTGTATTTGTTGCCGAAATATTCAGTTAGGCGCCGGCATTCGGCGGCTACCCCGGGAAAATATACCTTGAAAGGCCTGAAAATTTTGCTCTTAACACAGAACTCCGTTCCGCCAAGATGCGGTTTTACTTGTATTCAACATGACTCCGTAACAAGATCCCACTTGATAAGGACCTGGAAAAACCGAAGGTCGAAACGTTGTGAACGCTAATTTAATAAATGTGGCCAGCTGAGGTCGATTGAAATTTTGAAATCTTAAAATTTCACTCTAGAAAAATAAGAAATATGAAAGGTAAATTTGGCCACTTATACTTTAAGAATTCAAAAGAAAACTTCAAGACTTTTGTGAAACGCGTGCGATATAACTGGAGGCTCTTATTGTTAGCATTATGCGGTAATTTCAGTATGGAAGGAAAACATACGCGCGATACACACAGCGCGCACAATAGCCCGTAAAATTCTTACGACGTTCAGTCCTAGGCCCGTGGCTGCGAGGACGGGCGTGCGGAAAGGGGGAAATGATAGAGGAACGAACGCCTTGTGTTAATTGTCTCGAGTCGTCTTATTTCGCGAAATAAACTTAGGTAACATCGTACAGCGTAGCATCGCGGGTGCACCCGCGCGTCCGTGTTTTGTAAAACGCACGTGTATCTATCACAGAATAAATGTGGTCGGAAGACCCGCGACACGGTGGAACGACGACGCGCGGATCGCCTCGTTCGCCGCAACGGTACCCGTCGTCCATCCCTTAAGGGGATGCTGGAGTGATTCTACACTTTTGCACCTTTTGCATTTAAAACTGCCTGTTTCGTGGAAACATTTCTGTAATATACAAATATTTCCGTGAACTGACAGTTTCTAGATTAGAAAGGTGCAAGAGTGCAGAATTACTCCAGCATCCCCTTAAGCCCGTATCAGACTACGGATTGAGATTAGATTGAAACGTGACCAATTAGAGTCAAAGTTACTAAACTTGAGATTAGTACACTTTACTGTGAATGATCAAATCTCAATCTAATCCCAATCTCAATCCGTAGTCTGATACCCGGTTTCACCAACGTTGTTTAACTTTAGGCTTAGCTTTATAATTTGTTCTTTCTCTCCCTTCTCGTCCCTTTCCAACTGTTGGTCTAGAAAGAAACAGACATGAATTAAACCAAGATTAAAGTTAAGCGACGTCCGATGAAATCGGGCCTTAGTCGTAGACGTAAGGCAAGGCAGAGAAAAAAAACGTAAGTCGTATACAATAATCTTTCACAACCTGCGTCTACGACCAAACGGATCGTTCTCTGCCATCGCGTCCCCCGGAGACGCGCCTCCGTCTACCCCAGTCAGAAATGACTCGAAAAGTCACGAAGTGACTTTCG